ACAACTTTGTTACTGAAAAACAGTACAAGGAACTAAGACCATCACATTATGCATTAAACTCTACTAAGTTGGTGGTTCAAGGGGAATAACCTCAGACTGGTATCATGCTAGAACATGTAACACAATCAGTCATGATTCCAAATAAATTGTTACTTCCAATTCAGTTTAACCTAGTTTTAACATGTCAGTAGCTCCTACCAAAAGGTGGGCCTAGCTGTATTTCCCAGGGAAGGTGATCAAGGCAATGCAAACCTGTTCACATCTCAGTTCCATCTTTGTAGGCACAATGGGCCAGTTGCAGCAGGGTTTCCATGAACGCAGGCTGAGCTTAGCAGGGGAGGAATACTGTAATAGCTCTCCAAATCAACAAGTAAGCCAGTGTACATGGGACCCTTCACTTCCTGTCTCCTGCCTTCCTCTCCCTGCTCCTCTATAAGCTTGACATGTGGACCACACCAAAACACTTTCAGTACTCTGAACAAACCATGCTCTTACCCTTGGAGGGCTTCATCCACTCTGCTTAACTCCTGCTCATCCTTCAGAACTTCTTTCAGTGTTTTTTGACTTCTTTCACTGCCCAGTTTGAGTTAAAGTGCCCTGCTCCTTGCTGCCAAAATACCCTTTCTTATCTCACTCTACACAGTAATGCTTTTCTTGTCTCTTCCTCAGAAGACCATGGACATCAGGAGAGCAAGAATGCCTTTCTTCTCTGTATACCCAGCTCCTAGCAGAGTGCTTGGCATAAAATGTGTTCTATACACATCTACAGATGAAGGGATATTTCTACAAGCCAAGATTGCTAAAGCAGCTTTTGCTAACAGTCAAAGAAATGTTTACCAAGATGCTGACAACAGTGTATCACTACCATTAGCATCTCTTAACATATATCCTCCTCGTTTAGGAAGCTGTTGTGCCTTGGTACACAAAGGACAAGACCTTTTTATTGCCATAGGTTTGCAAGATCTCATTGACTTTTCTCTTGCTCTGGTCACTCTCAAGAACAAAACGATTGTTTTTAGAGGATGTCACAGAAACTGGCTATCTCTATTCAATGATGTAGGCACAGAGAAGGGATGGGCCCATTCACAGTTGCCTGGTAGAGAAACAGCCCACCAGGAGAAATAATAAAGAGGTCTCATCAGACACAGCCCCAGGGCCCAGTGGCCCACAACTTACGCATACATACATGCCCTCCAACACTTCAGTTTGTAAAAAGAGGCGGCAGAGGCATTAGTTGGGAACAGACACTCTAACATCAAACAGACTTGAATCTGAACCTTGACTGACACTTAATAGTTCTGTGACTTGACCAAGTTTGTCTGTAACTGTAAGCATCTTTCATTGTTTTTAAATGGAGATAAAAGTACCTACCTTAGATCTGTTGAATAAGTGAGATTTTTTTACAAATGGCAGATCACTGAGTAAATATTTCCCATTATTGTTATTAGGGACTCTGGTCAGGGGCCTAATAGTTTCAAGGAGAGTGTATCTAAGGAGCTCATGAGCATCCTGCTTTAGGGCAGTTATCCTCTTCCCTAAGAGGTCCTTGAGGAGAACTTGGCTTAATCAGTGTTCAGTAAATGTGTAGTGAATCAGTGACTGGGGAATGGCTCTGGTGGACCTTTGTTATTCTTATTGGCTGTCCAGCATCTGAAGTACCTTCCCATGTGTGAGGAATTTATCCCTAATAGAAGCTCAGCTTTCCAGATAACCTCATTCTGACTTCCTACGGCTAGGACACAGGCATATGACTACTAATCAGATCTACCTACCCCATATTTTGAATCAGAAACTCGTGGTTCAAAGACGTCAGGAACACACAGGGTTACTTCTGATGAAAGTGGAACCCCTATATCCAGTTCCAGAGGCAGCATGCAATGATGACAGTAGACAGGGAAATCAAGTTTCACTGTATTAATTGGGCTAGTGCTCATGCCCCAATAAAAAGTTCTTTGATAAAGATCAACATGAAGCTCAAGGCCAAAAAGGGATGAGGAAGCCAAACTGAAATCTTATCAGCAGCAGAAAGCCACAGGCTGAAGACAGCATTAGGTAGAGGAGCCTCTTTTGGGCACAGGCCTCCTTTCCAGTCCAAGACCCTGAAAAGGAGAAAGCTGAAGAGGGACCACAGTCGGGGCCATCTTTTCATAAATAGCAATTCATAAATAAACAGAAGTGATCCACCTTAGAATCTCACTAATCTCATTAGCAATTCCTCCTACCTCACCGGGCTTGGAGGAGGAACAAGGGAGGTGAGAGAGGGATCAAGACCTTTAGTATGCTTTCCCAGAAGCCTGCAGTGATTAACGAATATGAATGCTTCACTCTAATCTGTGCTTTTAAATCAGTGCATTAAAGTGGTATGGCAAAGGAACTCACTGGCATACAGGTGTTCACTGAAGTAATGGAGGTAGTGGCAGAGGCCGACATCCAGTCTGTGCTAGACTGACGTACCAAACAACCTAGAGAAACTGAGAAAGAGCATAGTGGGAGAAAAATCAGAAAAGTCGGGTCAGGAAAGGGAGCATTCCAAAGGAAGTGGTTAGATAGCATCAGTATCATAAAAATCAACCTAAGGGCTAAATTTTGGCAGAAGTCACTGGTGAACCCAGCAAGAACAGCTTTAACAGTGACAAGGGTAGCAGTTTTAGAGTGGTGGTTCTCTGCCTCAGCTGTACTTTTTGAAAGGCTGAAGCCTGTCCCCACTTTCCCATGCTGATTTAATTGGTCTGTGGTCTAGTCCAGGAATTAGGACTTTTCTTTTTTTTTTTTTTTGTGATGGAGTTTTGCTCTGCCACCAGGCTGAAGTGCAGTGGCACGATCTCAGCTCACTGCAACCTCCACCTCCCAGGCTCAAGCAATTCTCCTGCCTCAGCGTCCAGAGTAGCTGGGACTACAGGTGCGTGCCACCACACCCAGCTACTTTTTGCATTTTTAGTAGAGACCAGGTTTCACCATGTTCTCCAGGATGGTCTCGATCTCTTAACCTCTCCTCCCAAAGTGCTGGGATTACAGGCGTGAGCCACTGCGCCAACCCAGGAATTAGGACTTATTAAAGCTGCCCAGGTGATCCTAATGTGTAGCAGGGTTAAAAACTACTGCTTCAGTGGATTGCACAATGGACAGAGTGCAGGTAAGGGCAGTATACTTCAGTGGTAGTCAGGCTTTCAAAGGGCTAAGGAAAGGTATTTTTGTTTGAAGCAGAAGTCTTTGAACATGTTTAAATGCAAAGCTGTATGTGAGGCTGTATCTAGATCAAGTCATCTATGAAGGGAGACGGCCTAGGGCACAGGAAAAGGGATTCGTCTTGGGCAGGACAGGCACTGGCAGGAAGGTGAGGAAGGGTATGTGTGAGGGTGTCTAAGTGGGAAGTTCTGCCTGAGGCTGTTATGTGGTGGGGGAGGGCTGAGACTAACTGCTGAGCTGGAGAGAGGTAGGGGTAGAAAGGGTTTTTAGAGCAGCCAGTTTGCAATAGCTGCTGACAACGGGAAGGAATTTAACTGAGATCAATATGGAGAGCAATTCAAATTGTTACCATGATTCTGGGGTGGCATCAGTTTGCATGGTCATGAGATTTTTTTCATGGCCCGCTTGAGGAAGCAAGGTATAGCATCTATACATAATGAAATGTGTTGATTTTCAGGCAAAGCCACAAAGGCCATTTTTAAGTTCTCTGATACTTTCTTTCCCCTTTCAAAAAAAATTTTAATAAGGGGTCAGCAAGGGTCAGAGCTTTTAGAGAAAGAAAACATTAACTTATATAATTTATATCTTAAAGCATCCTAACTTTTTAGTCTCATACCTTGATAATATCCAGTAACAATAACATTTTTGGCCAGAGATAGTTTTAACTGGTTTTCAAGATGGAAAAGAAAAATTGTATGGTGTTTTAAAAGATTGCAAACATTGAAATGAAAGCTTAACAGCCTACATACATGGGCATCTGAGGAAATGAGAACTCCTATACCTTTGCAAACACAATGAACTCTTTAGCTATGCATATTCCCTGAAAAGACAGAACATGGGTTTCCAGGCTTCGGCAACCAGTTAAATAAAATATAAAGAAAAAATGGCCACAATTTCTTTTCAAAGCCTTACGATTAGAGTACCATATTCTGAAATGCTGAATCCATGAGTCAGACAAGAACAACAAAAAAAAACGTGAGTTGCTATTGGTCTCCAACCCCTGCTGAATCGCTACCTGAAATCTAAAACAAAGACAACAGGGTGTGATTAAGTGGAATCACAGAAAATTGATTTTTACATGCTCTGAAGTACTGACATTCAGTCTTAGCAAAAGATTACCAATAACTCAACAGGTATTTATTACACATTTATGTACCCAAGGTGGTTTTTTCTTCCAGTATTATAGCCATACTTTAAATGATTCATCATTATCATGCTGAAAAATAAATGATACTTTCCCTTCAAACTAAGAGCTAATAAACAAATATGATAAATTCATACCTTACACAAATCATATTTTTACTTCCAATTGTGAAAAATGACTATCATTCATAGACTAACAATTGTTATATTTTTATCCATATTTATTTTATTATTTATTTTTTGATACAGGGTCTCGCTTTGTCACCCAGACTGGAGTGCAGTGGCCAGATCATGGCTCACTGCAGCCTCAACTTCCTGGGCTTGAGTGATCCTCCTGCCTCTGCCTCCCAAGTAGCTGGGACCACAGGCATGCGCTCACCACACCCAGCTAATTTTTAAAATTTTTTGCAGAGACAAAGACTCACTATGTTGCCTAGGCTGGTCTTCAACTTCTGCAATAAAGCAGTACTCCTGCCCTGGCTGCCCAAAGTGTTGGGATTATGGGCGTGAGTCACCAAAGCCAAGCTTTACCCATTTTCAAAAGGTTATTTCCATCCATATAAACATAGCCTTGATAGCATCCTTTGCCAATTTTTCCAAGAGATCTTTCAGGAGCTTGTAGGGGAAAAAATAGAAATAAAGACGTTAACAGTTTCTGCAAAGAATTATACAAAAAACATCTCTTTACTTATGGAGGGAATATGAGAGCACCTCAGCACTTAGGAAGAGACCAGCCCATTAAAACATCTTTTTGGCTGTGGCAAAGCCTATGGTTCTCAAACTTGAGTATGCACCAGAACCCCCGGAGGGCTTGCTGAAAGACTGCTGGGCCTTGCCCTGAGAGTTTCTGATTCAGTAGGTCTGGTGCTGATGGTGCCAACCTAGGGGCCACACTTGGAGAATTCCTGCTCTGGGCAGCTCCCTTTCTCTTCCCGCTGCTTTCCACTTCTCCACCTTGCCAAACTTGCTTCTTTGCTGAATGTCTTCAGGATATGCCTCATTCTTCAATATTTGAATAATGTTTTATTCCCTAAATCTGGCAATTTTACCAAGCATTTATGATGTCTACTTGCAGTTGTAGAAATATTTCTTCTTTTGGCCGTAAGTTTGTTTTGCTGGGCTTGTTAAAAACCTTGTAGTCCATACTCTTCAACAATACTTCTCATCTTCTTTCTTTTTGATGCTGCTATTTCCAGGCATTTGATGTTCATCTTTTGGAGATGTTAGCATGGGAGAAAGCATCTCTGTGCCACTTGCATTTAGTTTTGAGCAATGGAACTCACCATGTTCCTCACCTTTTCCCTCTGAACCAGTTTTCTTCTAATGGGGAGAAACTGTTGTCAGTGACAATCACTCTGTGACCTTTCACAACAGGAGTGGGAGATATGGAAATACTGACAGGTAAAATTGTCAGCTCAAGCACTAGCAGAGGAAGCAGCTGACAAGAGCTAACTGCTTTTACCACCCCTCCAACCATCCCACGAACCATGACGTCCTCCAAGCTATGCCTCCAACTAGACTGCATCCACAGCTGCTAGAGTAAGCCACTCTGCTCTCAGCTCAGCTCAGATAAGGTTCATAAGACATACAGGACACTGAATACAGCTTCTAACGCTGAGACTTTTACATAGTATTCTCCGCAGAGGGAAAAACCTGTGTGGCTTAGAACCACAGCAGTGAAGTCAAAATAAAATAAAGACCTGAAATGAATCATGTATCACCAGGAGCCTTCGCCTGGAGTCAAAATGGAGGACCCAACATATCAGCAATGACTGTACCAGCCCAGTTCCTTTCTCTCAACACTCTGTATCTTTTTCAATTCCAAGTGACTTTAATGATAACTCTGCAGCAACAGAACTTCCCAGGCTATATTATAGGTATTATAGGTATACAGATATAGCCACAGTGTCTCTAACTCCAAAATGCAAAAATGCAAGGCCATATCGATCTATTTGGAAGTCATAACTACTTTAGTTACTTGTCCTAGGTGTTGTGCTTTACTTAACAAAGGATGCTACAAGCATCACAGACTACATAGATTTATTTCAGATTTTGGCCATTTTGCTGCAAAAATAGCCTTGTTAGTAGCCTATTTCATAGCCCAGCAAAGCAATGTCCTTTGAAATTTTGAATCACACTTGATTTCTAAACAATTCAAGGCTAAATGTGGCCTACCTTCCAACCACATACCACTCAGTAAAAATTATACTCAGCACCCTCCAAATCTGGAACCAGGTAAACAAGCTACTAATTTCCTCTTATTAGTTCTTACCAAGAGGCAACACAAGGTTGGGCATGGTGGCTCACACCTATTACAACACTTGGGGAGGCCAAGGCAGGAAGATTGCTTGAGGTTAGGAATTCAAGACCAGCATAGGCAACTGAGCAAGACTCCATCTCTACAAAAACTTAAAAAATTAGCCAGGCGTGGTGGCACACATCTGTAGTCCTCACAACTCAGGAGGTTGTGGCAGGAGGATGGCTTAGGCCTACAAGTTCAAGGTTAGAGTGAGCTATGAACACACCACTGTACTCTAGCCCGAGTGAGAAACCAAGAGCCTGTGTCCAGCAAACAAAAATAACAACAAAAGGCAACACCAGAGTTTTGTTCCTTTAAAATACTGCATCTCAAAAATAACCTAAACTTCCCTTAAACTCATAATTAAAACTAACTTTTTATTAATGATCCTTACAGAAGCAGATGTTTTGACTTCTGCCCATCGTAGAAAACACACAAGATTAGGATTCAGACAGGCCATTTGTATAGCCAGCTGGGATAAATCAGAACCCTGAAATAAATAAAAACTGTTTAACTCAGCTTTAGTTATTACTTTTGAGCAGATCAAATACATAAGCTCAAGGATCATCCTCAAAGCAAGTCATATTTCAGAGTTTTTTCAACACTGATTACAAAACCTGATTTTTGAAACTATGTAACTTCTTTGAAAGATTATAGATTTTTCTTAAATGACATTATACACTGTGCCACATATAAGAAACTTTAAGTTTTAAGATTCAAAATACACTCAATTCTAAGGCTATCCTCTGGAACTGGTTAATACAGAAAGCAAGCAGAATACATTAATAATTCCTTAAACATGCACATACAGCACCTTAAAATGAGGAGTGCAATTTACAACCCTGTGTTGGAAAGTATTTGTGTGCTTAATATTCTATTCTCTCAGGCAACTAATTTTCTCCCCATCTATTACAGGTAGATGTTGCATTCTTGGGTAATCCCTGTTGAAAGTATGCAAAATGTGTAGAAAAGCATGCTTGAGAAAGATAATAAATATTCATAGTATACTGTTTCATAAATAAGCATCTCAGACTGAATCAGATCTATCACTGTTAAACAAGAGATTATAACCCAGGGCAGAGAAACTCTGAAAGTCTGGGGTTCTAGTCCTGGCTTAGTTACGTGATTTGGAACAAGTCACTCAACTCTGTGACAGCTTTCATCTCCTTAAAATGGCATGACTTCATAGAGATGTTTGAAATGTAACTAATGTTGTATATAAAAATTATTTTTAATCATAGGCAGAAAAGAGGACTATTAGGCAACAAGTTACATAAAAAAGATGTGGGAACACCTTGGCCATCTGACCTCTGGAGGTTTTCACTAATAGGCCATGACCATGGGACCAACTGCTGCATGAGTTATAGAGCTTGACACAAGAAAAAATTATGTCCATAGATTTCTCTCAACCCCAACCAAGTATGCTAAAAATATATGCCATGGGTCACTATGGTGACAATGCACATGACAATAAAACCTAACCTCATCACTAAAACAATTCAGTGGTACCATTTTATATTCAACAGACATTCTATTTTCTATGCCCTGTGGGGTGCGGCCCACAGGGAAGGGAAGCACACTGCTGCATGAGAACCAGGGGCAACTTAGAGGCATGCGGGGCTGGCTTCAGCACTCTCCCACCCCATCATCTCCACCTGCACCTCCCTCTACCACATTCCTGATTATGAACAATTGACATGTTCTCAGTCTTACATAAAGTGCCATGGAAACTTAGCTTCAAGTCCCTTTTTCCAACTAGATTCCTCCCACCCACCTCCCTACTTCATCAATAAAGAAATGTGGAGTTTCCATTGATAAGAACTATCATTTTAAAAGGGAACATGATAAAGCAACCTATGATTACACTTTGTATGGGAAACAGGGGCAATCACACTTCAGGGGAAGGAGGCGCTGCCCCATTCAGCACTATTTAAGACAGAAAATAAGCAGGTATATAAGTGGGAGTCCCTCTACAATGTGACCAGAGCAGGGAGCACTTCGTGAAGGGCTTCCATGCATTTCAGAGTAAACACACTCATTAGTATAAAAAAAGAGCCCTTCTGTCATCCAGGCCCCTGAATGAATGACAGACACGCTTGACAATACTTTTCAGAAAGCATGGCTTCTCTCCAGCAGCTCCAGGCCATCACTTATTTCTCACTTTGACAACGTAGCATCCAACTTCAGGCACAACTGTATATATAACTCCACATGCAGCTGAGCCATCATAAACATGCCAAGTATAAAGGCATGTCAAAAAGACATTTTACCTCCCCAAAGCATGGCCCCAAGAAGCCATTATTATAATAGAGTGTGAATTTCTACTGCAGGTTATTAACCTATAATGCTAACAATAAAGTCCTGCTTAGGACATAAAGGCTTACACTGGGACATGAAGTAGTAAGACACAATCCACTGACTATTTTAAATTTGCTATACACCTAAACCATCTTCTCCATTAAACCAATTTGCGTGTGTGTGCATGTGTGTATACACACATCCTCTTTCAGTAGAACATAAACTCTGAAGATGAGGTAAAATACAATACAGCTGCTGCTGCTGATGAGCTGTCTGAGTATCTGCAGACCATCTGCAGAAAAATGGACGTTCTCAAGGCCCAGTTGCTGGTGTCTCTTTTGAGGCTCCAAACTGAGAACTTGGTTGATTTATCTTATTGGCACTCTGCGTGAATCAAGAGTAGGCTCAAAGGCAAGCCTTATCTCCTCCAAACACAATTCCATACAGGCCTCAACTCCGTAGTTAAATTTGTTTGGAACTGACTACAAGTTTGGAACTTCCTCAAATGACATTAAAAGCTCTACACAAAAGGTATGCAAAAGCAGTAACTGGTTTTTCAAGAACAAAGACAACTGCGAAAAAGCAACAGCTCTGTCAATGGAGCTGTAGTAAATGTTGAGACAGCAATAACAAGGTAACAAATAGAGCAGAGGATGACCTTTTTGTAAAAAATTGCTGCCTCAATACTTCACTAATTAAAAAAAAGATTCCCACAACGTGATCTTCTGAGAGAAAGAGTCCACTGCTGCGTTTGAAGAGGAGTTGGTTCTGGTGGGGAAAGGACTAGGAATGTCGATTAAGATATGAAAGACTATCTAACACGAAGTCCACCATTTGCTTCAGCAACGTCCAGTCAGCTCCTGGAGGGTGAAGTCTTGCTCTCTAGCTGTATCCAGGGCTCTTTTCTTGTGGCATTTTAAAAAATGTAGCAGTAGTTGGGTCTGTGGCTTTCTCTGCTGCAGGGGTCCTGACCAACCACTCAGAGCTGGGTGATTTCGGGGCTTGTGGCGCTGGTGTGGCTGGCTCCATTGCATCCATGTGAACTAGTAAGGTTACAATAAAGAGGAGCAAGAAAATCAAGGGGAGAGAAATTAGAATAAGACAAATTAGGGATACTTAGAAACAAAATTTTCTTAATCCTTATACTTCATGTCCTAGTAATCCAAGTGGCCACATAAGGTATTTCTTTTCTCTCTACAAAAAAGTGAAGACGAGATTTAAATAAGATGGTATTTCCTAATCTGAGAAAATGGGTCCAGTTGAACAAATAAATTCAGTGGCACGCATTCATAATGTAGTAAAAATCACTTATTAAATATTTATGTGCCTATTGCTTAAATAATGAATACTCATGATTTTATTTGTTAATGCAAACGCTTACTAGTAGTCACCTCTACTTTCTAGATCAGGGAACTGAGGTACAGAGAGATCAGATAAATTGTTCAGGGATAAATAAAACAGAGCTGCTTAAATATCAAGATTCAAACACAGGTACTGGACTCTAAACCCTACACTCTTCCTGCCACAACCCGTGCCTCCGATGGGGCAGTGTTACCACTATCGAAAATGGTAGAAAGAGCACAGTCAGGCCCAGTATTTTTCAATGAGATCACTAACGACATTCTGGACGGGGACATGGCTTGTGCAGGGCTGTCCTGTGTACTTCAGAACACTTACCATTCTGGATCCTATCTGCTGAATACCAGGAACATTCCCCAATCATTGTGACAAACCAACATTTACTTCACATTTCCAAATGCCCCTGAGAAGAGTGGCACAAACCACCATCATCACTACCCACTCTGCTGAGAACAAACATATACTAAAATACGGCAAAATCTAGGTAAGTCTGAATTTTACCCTGACACCCAATAATTCCACTCCCAGGAATGTAACCTAGAACAGTAATTTTCAAATTGTGGGTCACAAAATCAATTTAGTGGGTCATGACCATTACTTTTTTTCTCAATGAAAAAAATAGAAAATATCAGAGTGCACCCAAGACTTATTTCAGATTTACATGTACAACCAACACACATATTTAAACATGAATTTCTTATTGTGGGTTAATGTAAAATATTTTGAAAGCTATTACACTATAGTGTGTGTATATCTAGCTAGCTTTGTGTGTGTGTGTGTGTGTGTGTGTGTGTGTGTGTTTCTTGAGGGTCTTACAACATGGTCACCAAACCTCAGTAAAAAAAGCCCCACCCTAAAAAAACTTTTTTCTTTTTTTTGCTATTTTTGCATTACAGTTAAATATACATAAAATTTGCTATTTTGCCCATTTTTAAGTGCACAGTTCAGTGGCATTAAGTACATTCACACTGTTGTAAAACTATCACCACTATTTATCACCAGGACTTTTTCATCATCTCAAATGGAAACTCTGTACCCATTAAACAATAACTTCCCCCAATTTCCCTCTTACCCTAGCCCCTGGCAACCACCATTTTACTCTCTGTTTCTATAAATTTGACTCTTCTAGCTAGCTTATAAAAGTGGAATCACACAATATTTCTCCTTTTGTGTCTGACTTATTTCACTTAGCAAACGTCTTCATCCATGTTGTAGCACATGGCAATTTCACTCTGAATAAGAAAGGCTTTCCAGCTACATAATATTTCATTGCACGTATATAGCACTTTTGTTCATCTATTCATCCAGCAATGGACATGTGAGTTGTTGCTACCTTGACAACTGCAAATAACATTGCTGTAAACAGAGGTGTACACACATCTATTTTGAGTCTCTGCTTTTAATTCTTTTGGGTACATGCACAGAAAGAGAATTGCTGGATCATATGGTAGTCTTATGTTTAATTTTTTAAGGAACTGTTTTTTCACATACTGTTTTCCATAGCAATGCATGATTTTACCTTCCCACAAGCACTGCTCAAGGGTTCCAATTTCTCCACATCCTCATCAATACCTGATGTTCTCTGTTTTTTGATACAACCATCCTAATGAGTATGAAGTGGCCTGGAAGAATGTTTGCACTTGTTCTCCCAGAGAACAGTACAGTATTTTCCATAATAGCATAAAACCGGAATACAATCCAAATGTCCATCAAGAACATTTAATTATAGTATATTAATCACATTCATACAATGGAATACCATATACATGGCAGTTAAAAAATAGATTTTGGCAGGACAAAACAGGAATGAAACTCAAGAATAGAACTGGGTGAAAGTTGTAACATAAAATATGACATAGTTTGATTCCACATATACAAGATTCAAAAACACAAAACTAGACAATTTATTGCTTAAAGATACATAGGTCTCCTAAAACTACTTGAAAAAAACAAAATAATGGCCAACAATAAACAAAAAACAATCAGAATAACTTTTACCTCTGAAGAGAACAGGGAGAAGATTTTTAAAGAAGATTTTAACTTTTTAAACTTTTTAAAAAAGAAAATTTTAACTTTTTCTTAAAGTGAATGGTAGGTACATGGATATTTGCTGTACTGTTTTTCTTTACTCCTTACATATCTGCTATAAATGTTCTTTTATACCCATTCAATATTTACTAAGAAACATGTTTAATTTTTAAAAACCTTTAAGCTTTAAAAAGACACAGTGGGCAATAAGAATTTGTCCTATGACTCCTGAGAAAAGGGACATCCTAAATGGAACTACTGAATCCAACCATGTGGTTAGAATATATCAGAAATTATTCTGTTTCAACTTTAAGATTCTATAAATTTATTCCTACAACAAATAACTAGTGGGTTTGTTCTCTGGGCGAGGTATTCATTGAGATGTTAGGGGTACAGTAGTGAGCAAAATAGATAAACAGTCCTGCTCTTGTGAATGCATCTGATAATACATTTGACAATTCAAATCTCCTCTCTCTGTGTGTCTCTCTCTTATATCACTGACCTAGTATTTGAAAACTGATGTAACTAATTAACAATCATTAACTATTAGGTACCCTTCTGAATGATATTCTAAGCACACATATCCTATCCCAGAAAGAGAAAGGTCAGAAAAAGCTTTTGGGATAGCTAAAATATATTCACACAAATAGCTGGGTTCTCAACAGAATTTCCGGTCTCCTCAATTCCCCTTTATCAAAAGCCATGTGTTTACTTTTTTAAGGATTGGAATCTGCATGCCAGTGGCTCTGATCTACCATTCTGATGAAGAAAATCATTTCAAGAAAACAAAGTCTGGTTTTCATCTGGGTTTATTATGTTTTTTACAGCTACTTAGTCTCAAATTTTGGAGAAGATAATCCATTTTTTCTTCTTCTCTAAGTACATTCTTTTTTTTTTTTTTTTTTTTGAGATGGAGTCTCACTTTGTTGCCCAGGCTGGAGTGCAATGGCGTGCTCTCAGCTCACCGCAACCTCCACCTCCGGAGTTCAAGCAATTCTCCTGCCTCAGCCTCCCAAGTAGCTAGGATTACAGGTGCGCGCTACAATGCCCGGCTAATTTTTGTATTTTTTAAGCAGATATGGGGTTTCACCATGTTGGTCAGGCTGGTCTTGAACCCCTGACCTCGTGATCCGCCTACCTCAGCCTCCCAAAGTGCTGGGATTACAGGC